ACATACATACATACATACATACATACATACATACATACATACATACACTTCCATACACACTTATGTTAGGGACAATAACAGTTTATTATCAAACCGCTGCAAGCTTTTCTCATATGAGAGAAACTAGGAAAAGAAATGTCAAGTGTGGAACTGGCAGGACACCTAGGAATAGGCAGATATTGCCAGAAGGCCTAATACACAAGAGTCATTTTGAATTGGAAAACGATTTGGCCCCTGCAAGCTGAGGGTCCCCATGACTGCCTGTCTTTCTATACCTTCAAGGAGCATGTTCTGCGATATCTGTAATTATCCAAGAAAGTAACATTTTAGTCCTTAATTTAGCACATTTAAGTGCATTAAGTTCATTGGCCTGAATGCTGGGACTTCACTACGCAGTGACCAGAAAACACACAAATCTCATGAGACTAGAAACAGAACCAACAGTCCTCCTTATCAGGACAACGTGGTAGTGCCCGGAAGAGCCAGTCACCTGAGTGGTTGTGGCAACAACCTGAGCTACTCTAACTGGCCACAGGCTGCTTAGCTCCGTTCTGATTGTTACATCTCAGTAAACCGGCACAGTCATTCTGCAGGGCTTTATCCACTGAGAGCGCTTTGGTTAGCTCATGTTTTCACGTTTGTATGTTACATGCTGTTATTTCTGTACGCATTACTCATATGGGAGATCTACAGGTAAACACAGCCTGCTAGTTCAGTAGAAAAATGTCATTGTTAAGAGTATATTATATCCAATAAACAGTAAACAGATAAACATTTCGGTGTCTCATTTGTCATCCAGAATGTTACTGATACAAGACTAAGAGGAAGGCCTTTTATAGAAAAATATACCTATGTTTTCATTGACTTGTATGTGTGAGGGCTTCTTGGAACACTGCACAAGCACCTGAAGAAAAGTGTTGAGGAGCCATGTTACCAAACCTGGGAACAAAGAGGGAAGAAAATGCCTGTCAGAACATAGCACTGGTGAGACAGTTGGGGAACCTGATACCATTTTGAACAATGCGAATTCATAACCTATAAAAATGATTTTAAATTTTTATATTATTTATAGAAAAGTTCAAAGAGCATTGTAGAAGTATCAGATTGTTGACAAAGAAAATGTAAATGCAATAGGTAAAAAAATATAAATGCAAAACTTACACATTTTTAAAGTAGCATCCAACTTCATAAAGAAAACTGCAGAAAATGAAAATATTTATCATCTACATATATGTACCCAAAACTATAGCACAACTAAAGGAGTCTTTGTTCATACCACTTAACCCAAAACAAAGCAAGCAGGTTTTGTGATGTCACCAGGTGATTGACAAATGCACACATAGCAAACAAGCATTCCAAATTCACAGAATCTGACCTCTTCCCTAGTGCCTCTCAGAATCCAAGAAGAAATGTTTTTTGTTTTTTTCAAATATACCGCAGAAATGTAGAAATTCTTCAGCCACCTAGAAAATAGCAAATGTAACTCTGGAAATGAGGTATGCTATGGCCTATTTCTCAGACTCCCAGAATTAGAAGCATTTACCTGATGTTGAAGTCCATTCCTCTGCCATGTCGCTCATTTTCAATTTGGAGGGTCCGAAAGGATCTCATGATAGGTGCTTAGCAGGTGACCCCACTGCTGCTTAGGATCAGGAAGGTTCAGGAAAAGAAACCCTTATGATGCTAGAACAAAATTTTCCCCAGGGAAAAACTCAAGAGGCCTAAATACATAAATTACTAAACAAACAAGTAACAATGAGTGAGCTCAGCGTCTATAAAAGGAACAACAAAAAAAAAAACCTGCATTAAAAAAATAAATAAACTTGTAAAAATAAAGCATGTAATTTAATGAGTTAGAAAAACAGAACCATGAGTTACTCAGGGAGGGAAAATTAAGCAGGCTATAAACCACCTTCTAATCATCAGGCAAAAAGAACAGCAAATACACGCAGCCTTTGAGCACGCAGATCCAGCTGTGCAGCAGAACCCAGTGAGACCATGTCAAGAATGTCTCAAGTAAGCATGGTTCAGTGTAAGGCCAGACAGTGGACAATGTCACCAAGCTTTACACTGACAAGGAAGGATGCCAGGGACCAGGGAGTTCTCTGCATCAGATGGGGAGAGGGCAGTAAGGTGGATGTCACTGCTGATCATGAACAAGGCAGGAGAGGATAAGCCCATACACGAAATGCGAAACGCCCAGGCAACAGCCACAGACAGGATTATATAAAGTCCACAAGTCCTTAGGTGACTGTTCTTTGAACTCTGCAGAGAAGAGCTAAAAACTGCCGGCATCTGAATCAATGGGCGGGCGTTCTCCCTGTGGCTTCCCCAGTGTTGACCCTTTCATTAGCCTTCCCTACTTAACAATAAAAAGTCCCCTCATGTGAGGGCCTTTGTAGCTGCCTTACTGGAAGGCCAAGTGGAGCAGTTTGTCCCCAGAGATGCAAAATGCATGTGGTCCTGCTGGTGTTTAAGCTTGGCCCAGCTAAAGCGCCCTGCATTTCTATCTTTGGGCTCTTAACCAACAGTTTTGGTGGTGGTTAGCCCCTCTTTGTCTACAACCTGTACAATTTGCCTCAAAAAATCTCATCTGCTCTCAAAACTAAAAAGTAGCACACTGAGCATTGGTGAAGCTGTCCTCCCCCCTTCAGGACAGCATCCACCCTGTAGGTGAGCAAGCGTAAACATGTGAACTGGTGAACCTGTCCTCCCAGCACTGTCCTTCAGTCAAACCCTGCAAGCAGAACGGCACTGGTCTTCAGATATGTGTTTTGGAGCTTTGATGTGAGGCCAAGAGCCTAAGAGAAAACTCCTGGGTGCTTAGGAGGAGCCCCGCTGCAGGAGGCAACAGCAGCCTGGCCTTCAGTGGGGCGGGAGAGATAATAAGAAATACATGAGGGGAAGAGGGCCGGACAGCTGGGGCGGGGAGGAGCGGCCTGCGTGGGGACCCTCGCGCGTACTTGTTTTTGTAGCACCGGTGCGTAAATATTTGGTTTCATGTCTAACTGCAAAGGCATGGGGCAAGAAAACATTCTTGTTCTATAGACGCCCAGCAACAAGACCACGTATGCATGTGCTTAGGTAAAAAGGTGTATTTCAATGTGGGAACAGTTGCCCATTACATAAACGTCACTGTGAATCTTCAACTAAATAAATAAATGCCTCAGCGTCAGAGATGCGGCTTGTCATGTGTCCAGCCCAGCAGTCACGCCTCGCTGTTTCGCTCAGGTCGACCTCAGGTGGCACTGTGTTCATTGGACAGAAGACTTCCTTGGCACCTTTTTTTTCCTCTCTTCTAGTAAGGAGAGTACATTCTGGAAAACCCACAACAAACAGGTAAATGCCCTTTGAGGTTTTGGCAGGCTCTGTGAGTCTGAAAGAACTACGAAGTCAGCTTCGATTGGCAGGAGGGTGATCCTCACCTGTCTGTCAAAAACTCTGGCCATTTCTAAGACACCTTTGCCAAACTGGAAGGAAACACAATGCCCTTAATTTGATTACAGATTGGAGTGTGTATATTTATTTCTTCTCTTAAGAAAAATCTTCCAATAAACATTACCTCATTTTTCACTGTTGTATCTGCTCCTTTGTCAAGAAGTAGCTGAACTAACTGTTCATGATTATTTAAGACGGCAACCTGAAAAACAGAATAGTGGGGTGTAGTGTGGTGTGAAGAGCACTCCCCTCCACCAGGGCGCCCCTCCACCAGGGCTCCCCTCCAGAGCAAGTGAAAGCAGCAGGTCCCGGCTGGGCCAACCTCACAGATGAAAAGCAGCAGATTTTTCACAGGGCCCAAAAGCAGCAAGTTCATTTTGTAAACAGATCTATTTTGATCCCACAATTGTCCTGGGAACTGGGGTTGATAGCCCTTAGATGTACTTGGAGAAAAAAATAAAACAAGATAGTATAGTGTGGGGCACAGGACAGTGCCTACTCAGAGGCATGCCCAAGTGAACCTCAGGATCCCAGGAGTTCGAGGCTAGCATGGGCAATATGGACGGCCCCATTTCAAATAGAAACCATAGTGACTTTCCCCTGATTGTTAATGGATAGGGGACACTATGTTACCAAACCCAGGGCTCAGATACAAGCTGCTCAACTCTCAAGCCAGGACTTGTGCTAACAAAACTGAGACCCCGGAAGTAGAATGTACCATGAGAGGTGTCTTTCCATCTTTGTCCCTCACGTTCACGTCAGCCCCAGCCTCGATGAGGAGTGAAGCTACCTTCTGGCTTCCAGTCACAGCAGAGACTCTCATGAGTGGTGTCCATCCTGAACCAGTATCCACAACATCTACCTATGTTGCCAAAGAGACAACTGCCTCAGTCCAACCGCTTTTCTGTGGCATCACTGGGCAGACACACAGGGTGTGCGCACATCCCCAGACTCCCTCATTCTCTAGACCTGTGGTGAGCTAGCTGCATTCATGTCTGTGTTGAGGGAGGGGGTGTGCTGAGTCTCATAGAAGGCCCCCCTCTGCTGAGACACCCCACGCACACCCCGCTGGCACATTCATCTACAAGACAGCTAGGAAGGGACCCAACTATACTTCACACTGGGATACCAGGCTTTCCTTCAGTAGATTTTTTTAATGTTTTTAAAGACTTGGTTTTATTTTTTATGTTTGAGTGTTTTGCCTACATATCATGTCTGTGCATTGTGTGTATGCAACATCCACAGAGGCCAAGAGAGGCCATCCAAATGCCTGGGACTGAGTTACGAACAGTTGTGAGCCATCATGCAGATGCTGGGAATCAAACCCAGGTCCTCTGGAAATGTAGCCAAGTGCTATTAAGTACAGAGTCATCTCTCAAGCCCCTGGTGATTTTAATAGTGTTTACTTTTTTTCTTTTCTTAATTTGAGACAAGGTCTTGCTGTGTAGACCAGGCAGCCTCAAACTCACAGAAATCCACCTGCCTCTGCCATTCCACTGCTGGGATTAAAGGTCTGAGCCACCACATCTGGCTCAGTGGTATTTCTTTTCTTCGTTTGATGTATCTTTCATAATGCTTTAAATCTTGCCTGGAACAAGACAGTGATGACAAGAGTGTATGCCTTTGTACGTCACAAGGCTTACATCTCAGGCAGAAACACCAGACCCATCACACAAACTAATTGCATACACCCAGTTAGTGTGTATTTGGGGACCTGAGGTGACAGCCAGTCATCTCCAAAACACAGTGTGCCCAGTAATAAAACAGCCAATACCCACAACCCACTTTTTAACCAACTCTTTCAATTTAGTCTTCCAAAAGAAATAGTGTGGAACAAAAAGGCATAGGTGTCACAGAATTCTAGGGTATCCCCAACCAAACCAGGCGGAGTAAGGATGGACATGAGAGAGAGCGTGGAAGCATGCATATGCACAGTAGACATGTGCATGCATGTACACACACGCGCACACACATAATGCTACAGGCTGCGTTCCTCAGAGATGCAAAGATGATCTGGGGCTTCAGTGAAGCATCAGAACAAATAACAAACAAGGGGCTGGCAAGAGGCCCTGGGGTACTCTGGTTGTTCACGTATATGAGACTGAAGGATCGTCTCTATCCCAACACTGTTCTTCCTCGTATAAATAGCCAACTATGAGCTACAAGCTCCACTGTGCTTGAATAACAATAAAATAACCACCTGCCAGAACAAGAGGGTCTCCAAAGCACCTGCACACATATTCTGTCTAGTCCTAGGAGTGTAGGGTATGGGTATGTATTCTTATTCCTAGTTTAGAAATGATCAAGCCTGCCTCTGGGAGTCCAATATCTTTCCCCAGATCACCCAGACCATCAAATGCACAAACAGTTCCCTGTTAAGGGAAATATATCACCCTCAGCACAAAGTCCTTACACTTGGGAAGACTGTAGTAGCTCTGCCTGGCTCTCTACCTTTCCCGTGGTCTTCTGAAATGCCAGGTGAGCAATCTGGCAGCAACATGGAGGCTGGGCTGCCTTCATCCATCCCCACTGGCAGCTGTGTACATCAATGTCTCCAGGGGACCCATGCATGCAGGTCTGTCCTCTGCAAATGGCTCCTGGGCTACAGAAGAAGGTAGGACTTAACCCAAGTGGCTGAGCTGTATACCTGAAGCCCAAAACACCCACACTTCAAAACTGCAGAACCTGAATGTTTCTATCAAAGAGCCTGCCTGTCTAAAAATCGTTTTCCTTTCCCGGAAGGCGTCAGCTTGTTTTCATTACAAACTTACTAAACAGGACATTGTGGCCACCACTGTTACAGAGAGCTCTTTTACTGAGAACAGCCTGCTAAGCCTTTCTGCCTTCTTGCAAAGGTTTCTCAGGCATAAAGCTACAAGAGATGTGGTGAAATGGAATTATCTTAATGTCTGGGATTTTTCCTTTGAGGTAAATCAGTTCTTTGAGAGCAATGGCAGGAGCCAGTGAGACCGAGTCAGAAGTCCTGCTTTCCCTCACTAACACCTCAGAGATGGACTAGACCTATCTACTAACACCTTCTGCAAAATGAGACTTTCCCAGACGAAGTTCCAGGTCATGGTCTCAACTTCCCAGAACTCGCCACCTGCCAGTCACACTCAACACCAACCAAAACCTCCATGTGGACACATGTATACACAATATATCCATACAAACATGTACATACATCACACATGTGCAGAGAGAGCGCATAAATGAAAACAACCCAACTTTGAACGCTATGAAAAGCTGCTAAACCTGTATCGCCAGCATATAGCAGATGCTCAGTAAGGCTTCAGTAGCAACTGAACAGATGCCAGCAATGAACGCAGGGACAGAGCAGCAACACAGACACCTGGAGCCAGCTCTGAGCTCCACCCACTTCCCTCGCCTCCCGTGATGAGATGAAGCCTGGCTGTCACCTCAGGTCCCCAAGAATCCTCCCAGGCCTTTAAAGCTCATGAGCCCAAACTCCTGTCAAACTTTTCTCAGAGCGAGTGACCAGGACTGGCTGCCTCCTCCGGATCCCAGAGGATGCTTTCAAGTTCTTTCTAGTGCAGTGTGGTTAACAAGGAAGCAAGGAAGGCTGTACCTCACAGCCGTCCTTTATCATCCAGTCGATCACAGGGCAGTGGCCTCCGTCTGCTGCCCAGTGCAGGGCCGTGCAACCTCCGAGGTCTCTAGCGTCCCAAGAAGCTCCGTGTTTCCGGAGGTATTTCACAACGTCCAGATGTCCTGCATAGCATGCAAGCATGAGGCTGCAACACACAGAAGAAGCAGAGTCCGCTGGAGGTGCTGCCACTGACTGTGGCTCCTCATTTTGACCACCAAGATTAAACCCAAAACTCATCATTTGAGTGAGAGAAAAAACTGTTTATCCACATAAAATATACACAGGTCCATCAACTGATATATAAAATGTGGCAAATCCATACAATGAAATGTTGGGTTAACCGTGAAAGGTAAATCAAGTCTGCAGTGTAGAAAAACCTTAGAACCATATGATAAAAAAAAAAAAATGACAGGCATCAAAAGTCATAGCATAGGATCTATTTACATGAACCAACTAGGAGAGGCTAATGAGGAAGACTAGAACAGTAAGCTGGTAGCTTCCTAGGGCTAAGAATGGGCACTGTACTTAGGATACTGCTAGAGTCACAAAACTGGCTCACATGGTGATGAGTAATGATTAACTGAATGCATTTTAAAGCACTGCATTCTATGGTGTGTGGACAATGTCTTAATTTTTTTAATAAAAAATACTGGAGCTGGCAAGATGGCCCTGTGGATAATTCGTGGTGCCCCAGGTTCAATCCCAGAGGCCGCACTGTGATGGAAAGCACAGGGTCCTGAAAGTTGTTCTCCTCTCTCCATGAGTACCATGGCCCATGAGCACCGATATACCTACACACGTATGAACACATACAAAACAAAATACAAAAGTGTTTTGAACATGACTACTGGCCATGGTTTAGTATAAATGATTGAATTTTAAAATATCCATAAGACCCAGATTACATTCAAAACCAAGTAGTGAAGGACCATACTGTCCTTGTATAGTATGTGAAGGTCATACTGTTAGCGATCATTATTAAGCCAGTTCCTTACTCTAAAACAGGAAGTTTGCTTATTTACTGCCACTAGGCTGGTCCGTTCCAGCTGCTGAGGCATTCCTCCTTGTACCCTGCCAACTAAAACCAAATCATAAAATTCTTCCATGCCCCTCCTAATCAGTTAGCTAGTATGGGCAGGGACCACTCCCAGTTTTAAGATGTTAATGGGGACTGATGCTATGAATTTATTACCTTATAAATTATTTTCTATATGCCGTGAGGTAAATATAACTTTACAGAGATCTAGCTGTCCCCAACACCACCCGAATCAAGTCTGGAGTTGGTACCTGTATGTGTCACACAGTGTGGGCCTCCACGGCCGTGTCAGAGAACAACACACAGTTCCTGCTGGGGATAGTACTCCGGAATAGCCAAATCTTTATGGCCTTACTATGGAAATGCCTTTACTGGAAAGACAGGGTTAGGCGAGCAAGCTAGATGCTATCCTGCTACTGGGAGGTGATGGAGGCAGCCCCAGAACACAGAGTGCTGAGAGTAGTCAGCCTCAAGTGTCGCTGCGAGGAGGGGAGGAAGGAGAATAGAAGAGAGAATAAAGGGAGAATAGACTGAAAGGTAGAATGGGGGAGGAGAGAATGGAGAGGGGAGGAAAACGAGAAGGGGCATCAAGAATGGCAGCGGGAGAGAACTGAGAAAGACCAGGTCTTCAATAAAGAAAATGAAACCACAGAGGCAAACCACCAGGCCCAGTATGGGAGCATAAACTGGAGAACGGTCTTGCCCCCGTCCCTACTGCAAACAGTGCCATCTGAATGACAAGTGAGAGTGGGTGGGGTGACACCAGAGTATGGTGGCAGCTGGACAGTGATGACCTTGCCTCCAGGAGTACACACTAAAGGTGACTGTGGAGCACATGGGTGGAGGGGGTTTCCACAAATACGAACAAATGTCAGCACCTGCCAAGTCTGGATGCAGCATGGACCGGTGTTTTCTGTGTTATTCTTTCATCTTTTCTAAATGTTTGAAAATGGTCTAGATAAATAGTTGGAAAACGAAACGGAAGATCATCTCAGTAAGAAAAAGCCGTCCCTGAATGGCTGCACAAGGACAGTGGGACGACTCATGTCTTTTAGCATCCTAAGTAAGATTCCCCGACCGTTACGTCTTTATTGTGCGTCTGGCCATTCCCTGACCATAGAATGGAATTGCTGTGCGGGTGGCCGTGACCTTTCTGGGCTTTGTATTAGCACCTACTCATTGTCCTCTCCTTCTCCTCCTGCCTCCTGTCAGCCCACTCCTCTCTACTCTTTCTGCTTTCACACTGTGTCTGTATGTCTGTGAATCATTTGTGCATACATAGATCTCAGATTGTGTGTGTGTAAATCATTTGTATAAATGTACATCTCAGAATGTATGTGTGAATCATTTGTATATAGGTGGATGTGTGTGTGTGTGTGTGTGTGTGTGTGTGTGTGTGTGTTCTTACATAAAACGGGGAGGAAAATGAATGTTCAAATTGTCACTGACACACAGCACACAGCAAACATTCCACCACTGAGCTGGACAGCAGCCCTCAGGTTTAATCCATGTATATTCCCAAATGGTGTGCATCAGGTCATGCTTCTAGCAATTCCATTGGAAAACATCCATTTTATTCCACTTTTGCCATTACTAATTGTCAGGTACATAGGTGGTGTTTTATGCAGCCAGACCAACGGCAGTTCACGTGGATTACGGATCCTGCACACCGTGGTCTCTCGTGTACCACCTTTCTGTGTGACTTGCTTACTGCACAGAGTGGGCATTCCTGGCCGTGGACGTGCGTTCAGGTACTCTGTGCCCTGCACATTCCATAGGGTTTCCTCAAACAGCCCTTAGCTCTGTCTCATCTCCTTGGCTAGTTCCTTCCCACTTTGTGCCTTGCGCATTGCAAAGTCAGCTACAGCTGCTTCCCTGCTCCCTAAGAAGACATTTTACATTTAAATCCTCTGCCCACATGACATGTGCTTTGGTGCTTGCTGGAAGACCAAGATCTCATTTTTTTTCCAAATATCCTCTTTCCAACACCTTTTCCATTGGTCTGTGGCACCTGTACCACCGTATGTTAAGTTCTACCTATCCTGCTCATCTCTTTGCAATTTTTTAAACAGTGCCCATCTCTCTAATTAGTTTAACTCTTAAGGCATTTTAATAACTGTCCCCATAGTCTTTGACAACGTTTTTTAGTGTCTATTACCATCTATTTGTTCTCTCAGATAAATTGCAATCATTTTGACGGGTTCCCAAGAATAATTCCATTTGAGGCTACATTCAATCTATATGCTAATTTGAGAAAAATGGGAAATGGTGCCACAGTCTTGCCATTCCAAAGTACTATACATATCTCACTTTCTTTTAATCTTTGGATCATTCAGTATAGTTCTGTAGATGTATATTTTCATCAGGCTTCTTGCCTTTTGGGACTTATTCTATTCTACTGTGTTTAGATATTAACCAGTTAGTACCTTTTTTTTTTTTTAATAGTCTCAATAGGTAGCCCTGGATGGCCTGGAACTCACAGAGATCCTTCTGCCTCTGCCTCTGCCTCCTAAGTGCTGAGATCAAAGATATGTGCCCCCACACCCAGCATCAGATTAGATAGTTCTTAAACCACTTTGTAGCTACCACATCAGGAAAACTCCTTGTTAAATTTCAAGTGAAAGTTGTCTCTCTTGAATTCTGCAGACCAGGAGAAATCACACTTGTATCTCCCAAAATAATGTCCAATCATGAAATAAAATATAAGCCAGGCCCTGTTTCATGCATTCTCATATATTAACCCATTCATCGCCCACAGTAGGGTGGGTGCATAGGGAAGTGCACTGAGGTAGCTGTCCAGGGACTGAGGTTTGACACCATGCTTTCTGATGTCTGTGTTCCTCAATGCACCCCTACCCCAGCTCTCTGCAAACTCAGAAGGATTTGCCAGTGCTAAGAAATAACATTGAAGAACTGTCTGAAATGTTTTTTATAAAGGTAAATAAGTAACTAAACAACCCATTTTTATGGTGTTGGGCAGGACAGCAAACACCTAGCATCTCATCTCCTCCAGAGGTTGAGGCAGGAGAAGTGTGAGTTCCAGAACAGATTGGGCAACACAGTGAGACCAACTCACCCTCCACCACCACCACCACCACCACCACCCCCCGTCCAAAGGCTAGGAAGTCTGTGTGTGGTGTATGCACAGGAGTCCTGCTCTAGCACTCTCTGCCTTACTCCCTTGAGAGAAGGTCCCTCACTGGGCCCAGAGCTAAGCTAGCCATCAATAATCCTCAGCCATCTTCCTGCCACCACATGCCCCTACCACAATTATTCCTGAATTATAGGTGCACACACCCATGCTGGCATTTTACACAAGTGCCAGGAGTTAAGCTCTTTACTTACTGGACCATCTGTCTAACATAAAATGATGCACTGTCTTAGGATTTCTATTGCTGTGATGAAACACCATGACCAAAAAGCAAATAGGGGAGGAAATGGTGTATTTGGCTTATACCTCTACATTGAGAGAAGCTAGAACAGGAACTCAAAAATAGCACAGAAACCTAGAGGCAGGAGCTGATTCAGAGGCCATGGAGGGGTGCTGCTTCCCAGCTTGCTCCTCATGGCTTGATCAGCCTGCTTTCTTATAGAACCCAGCACCACCAACTGGGCTGTCCCCATCTATCACTAATTAAGAACGTGCTCTGTGGGCTTGCCTGTAGCCCAATGTTATGGATGCATTTTCTTAACTGAGGTTCCGTCCTCTCAGATGGCTTTAGCTTGTGTCAAGCTGATGGAAAGCAACACTTGTACACTCGTTGTGCATAGTGTTAGGTTTCGCAAGGACAGTTTCTCTCAAGTAGAGCCTGACTTTGGACAAACACACTCCAATGCATGCCCTCCACCCTCCTCACTGTCTCCCTGAAGCTAGCCTCCTTTCTGCCCTGCCTTGTCCTGTTTCTGCTCTCATGTCATTTATACATAAATGACTGTGTGTACCCGTATAAACCCCAGACTCCAGATTTGTCAGAATCCGGCTTCCTTCACTTAATCTGATGGTGGCCAGCTGCATCCATTCCCCACAAGGCATCACTTCGTGTGTTTCATGACTAACACTCCACTTGAGTGGACACATTTCTCCAAGTACCCTTCTGCTGACAGGCACCTAACTAACAAGGTGCCGAGCCGTACAAAGTTCCCCCTTTACCTTGAATCTACTAAGAAAGGGTGTTACGTCAGAAACCTTCTTCCTCAATACCTTTCTGGCTGGGAAAAAGGGGGTTATAAATATAAATTCCTACAAACGTGCAAAGGACCTGCTGCCCTTTTTCCCCAGTAGTAGGGACTGAACCCAGAGATCTGCACATCTAGGCAAACACTGAGCCCCTCTCGTGTGTTATTGACTATGCTGATGTTCACCGCAGCTTTCCAGCCTGTCTTTGCTGTCGAAAGCCCACGCTTAATGCTGACACACACCAATCTAAAGCTCACAGGCAGCCAAGCAAGAGCCTCCATGAGTGAATGCTTCAACACATTTTCTCAATTTTTACATGGATATTGTGCATTTTAGATTTTCCACTACTTGGGTTGATTCTGGTGGCTTTTATTTTCTCCAAGAAGCATCCATTCCAACACAATTATCAAATCTATTATGGGACACAAAGCACCATTTTCTTTTCATTTTCAAATACCTTCTATTGCCATTATTATTTCCCTTCCCAATGTCCAATTTTATTTCTCTTTCACGTACAAGACATTGGTTCATCGTGAAGATTTTTCTTAAGAGGTGACCCTTATATTTTTGCAACATGAAAATTCCCATCAATCGGTTTCTGGCTCTCTTTTGGTTCTTTGCCTGTTTTCTGCTTTCCTTACATTTTTTTTTCTTTTGTAAGCTGAAATTGTTCTTTTCAAAATCTTGAGCCAATCAATGTCCTAGTTCCAGATTGGTTTAAGAGTCATTCAGAAAACAAGCTTGAAATTGGTGTCTCACTGTTATCTGTCAATGCACTGGAATGAGTAGACAGGCTTTCTGGCTTTAGAAAGCTGCACTTTGGGTTACGGAGCTGACTTGGTGGTTAAAGTGCTTACTGTGCAAGCAAAAGGGCCTGAATTCGGGTCCCTGCCACTCATGAAGAAAGCCAGGTGTGACTGCATGCACCTATAACTCATGACTGTGGTGGAGGCTCCTGGGAAGTTGAAGACCAGCCAGCCAGCCGGCAGCCAATGAGAGACCTGTCTCAAAGGGCAAGACGGACGCCTCCTAATCAGGAGGCTCCTTTAAGTGACCTGAGGCCTCCACGTTTACACCCACATCCATACAGCTATGAACCCACACATACGTGCACACACAAAATACGGCGAGTGATCAGAGTCTGTGCAAGCAGTGTGTAAGCCTTTGCCCTGCCTTGTGAGCATCCAAAAGAAAGGCACTGAGTTTGCCTGACTTGCCTGACTCGCCCATGCACTAAGCATGGTGCCTGGCCTGTAGCCATCAAGTAAATGTTGGTGCTGCTGAAACCGTTCAATCTAGTTTCTACAACAGCTGGTACTCAAGTTTTTCAATGTTCCTTCATCTGCCCACGAATACCAGGCTCTTCCTCAGCCTCTCCTGTAACCCCCCAGATGGCGTGGTGGAAACTATGGCGACATGCTGCAGTGGCACCTCTGGGACTTTGGCTGCTGCTTACAAACTCCTGGCTTTGTGGGCAGCAGAGGAAGACTGGAAGGTAACAAGGCCCCTGGCCCAGAGCTGGTGGTGCTGTTTTAATAGCTATGGGTACTGAGCTGGAAAGGGCTGAACAGCTTGTGCCTGATGAAGAAAACCACAAACAAGCCAGCTTCTGTCACCCCATCTTCCCAGTGGGGTCCACTCACCTCTCAGGACTTTCACAACAAAGCAGGACAACCATATAAAGCAAAAAAAAAAAAAAAAAAAAAAAAAAAAAAAAAAAACTTCTGGGTGCAGCCTAGTAACACAGCAGCAACCATGCCAGCTCTCAGAGGTACCTCCCATCTCCTACCTGTCCTTGCCACTTCCATTCTTCAGATTCACATCTGTGCCATTGGAAACTAGGATCTTTACAAGCCTGCAGGGAACAAAGGTAAAAAGGGTGAGATAAAGGGCTGTGGGAATGTGGAGCCCACGGTAACCCAATGAAACAATAATCTGACATTCACGGCATCCCTACAACACCCTCTCCTCTGCCCACTCTGAAGACAGGCTCTGTCAAACTGGTAGACACTGATCCCTACCAAAAAATAGGGGCCCAGTCTTCCATGAGTCACTCATCATACCCAACCCTGCCCACATGGTAAAAATAGTTTGTGTCATTTTTGTGGCCATTTTTAATATAGGATCAAACAGAAATACTTAATGAGAACACATTTTTACTGTCTGTCAAAATGATATTGTTGCAATTAAAATATGAATATGGTTGTAAAATAAGGTGCTAGCACTTATAGCCAGACCTGTGAGACAGGTAAATGGCAACCGCAAGAGAAGGCTGTTCCTAACGTGTGCCTCAATCACCTTTGTTTAAAGAAATTCACATTCCAATCATGACTGTTGCCAAGAAGTATTCAATACATGGTGTGAGACTAAATGCAAACTCACCTGCAAGCTGCCTAACCTGGCACACATGCCCGAATGGAAGCCACTATATGGGACCGTTAGGAAAAGGAATAGAAGCTGCCGTGTGTGCTGGCTGCAGCCGTGGGGGAAGGGAGAAGCCCTGCCCCTCACTCAGAGCCAGAAGACCCGTACCTGGTATAGCCTTTCTGAGCAGCGACCATGAGGGCAGTAAAGCCGAACTTGTTGGGCACATCAACCTTTATTTGGCTTAAGGAAAGCAGATGAGAGACTTGTCATTCACAGCATAGATGCCTCAAGTTAACCGCGCTTTGCCGGGCCCGTGGGGGGCGGGGGGGGGGGGAATGGTTCATTTTACAAAAACAGTTTCTCTTGGGCCATTAAGTCTTTCTCCTCTTACAATGCCCCAATAGTTTTAAAGTTTCAAGTTTCTTTTCTTTTTTTTTTTTTTTTTTTGTTAAAAATTGTCATTTCACTTGAGCTAGTAGTTCCCTTCAACTCAAAGCCGTTATGCCTTTCCACCACATAGTCTGCAACCAACAAAGCCTCTTGGCATGGGGTACAAGCTGGGAACAGCGTGGCGCCAACACTCAGCTTCACCGAGGGAGCAGGCACGGTCAGAACCTGGGCTTTAAGCTTGACTCCCCACTTTTCTGGTTGGGCCCTGGTGCTGCCCAGGAAAGAACATACATTTCGTATTGTCAGCCAAGGAGCTTGGCATCCTCTGGAATCTTCTCATCAACTTGCCAAACCCCAGTGCAGAGTTACCACTGCCTTCTGTGGTGCACAAAACCATGCTACAGAAGAGCCTAAGTTACAGCTCTACCCGGGCGGCAGCGTCAAGCGTCACACCTGCACCAGCCGTGTCCCCTCTGTTCTCTAGTCTCCAACCCAGCTGCTTTGCGGACTCCCTGGTATCAGTGACACCTGGTATTACATGCAGGCATTTCAGGCTGACCTGTACTAAGTGCTGGGCTGGATAATCAAAGGATAATAATTGCTTCTGGGGATAAAGCATGAGGCCCAAACCTGTAATTTCCTTTTAGTTTTCATTAATCACAAACCGTATCATTTACAGGGGTCTCTGTGCCTCTTTATTAACACACTTAACTGCTTCGTGCCAGTCACCTGAGGTAAATGGAGGAGGTGCTTTTGAAGGTACTGGAGAATTTGTTTAGGAAAGCAAAATAAAGCTGGGCCATGCACGTCTGCACCTACTGGACAGTGGGAGAAAGAACAGAAAAGCTGGCTGCGCTCTCACCCTCCATCCAATATTCGAAGCAGGAAAGTTTCGTCGTTCACATTGACGGCACGATGAAAGTGCTCACTACTTATGGGCTCCCCTAGAGAAAGCAGAGGGAGAGCAGTCAGCTGGGAGGTTCGCGCTCTCTCTTCCTCCTGTGGCTTTGGTGGGTGTTCACTTCACTCCCAGGAAGGCATGGAGCTGTGCCTGTCAGGAAGGCTTACTCCTTCTTCTACTGGAAAAGACCCGATTTTCACATGTAAAGAGAAACCTCAGGCTGACCCAAACAGCTGGGAGATTTTCAATTTGTAAGGTGTTGCTTTGTGTGTGTTAGCATCAGAATCATCCTTCCCAATGTCTCCTGTGACCAAGGAAACCCCAGAAATGGTCATGACTGCTTTCTCTTACCAGAGTGGCCAAAAGGGTTCAACAACAAGGACAATTGCTTTAGCTCCTTGAGTTTGGGGAGTGGATGAGTTTCATACCCATCTGGAGGTGGGGAGCATGTGAGAAGACCCTTAAGGGAGATGGCAGTCTTCCAAGTGGGAAATGATAGGGACAATGAGCCTAAGACGACAAAAAAGATCAGCAGGACATTAAGAGGGCCAGTCGCTGGCAGTGACAGGGACATGATGTCACCTCTGAGAGCGTGAGGGGTGGCAAATCAACAGGCCCAACTTCGACATGGCTGGCCTTCAGAAGAAACTCTCTCCCAACCACTAGTCCATAGTTTCACTCCTTCTACAGTCCACGCTTTTTAAATCAGCATGGCTGAGCTTAAAGGGACATAAGCGACAGAGCAGTAAATGTCCAGCATTACCTACTGCTGTCTGGTATGACGTTTCCTAATGCTCTCATATTCTACCACGTCCAGCACCCCTCCCACACTTGCAATGCCCACCTGACCTCAATTCACACCTCCTGATCCATATCACTAGATGGTCAATCAATAGAATCCATGGAGTTTGCTAGGCACAGGAGTCTCTGAGAAAATGGAATAAACAGGGTTCTCCCATATGATTTCCTGATTTACGTTACCACCAATTTTCAACCTGTTACTATTCTAAGTTGTAAAGAAAACTAGCTGTGCCAGCCCCATCACCACAGCTGGGAATCCAGACTGTCTCCTGAGTCCTCAACCCCACCAGCCACTCCCACAGCCCACCTGCAGAATCAGCTGACAGCTCTTTTCCTGCCCCAGTCTCTCTGAGATGTCAGCTCCCAAGCAATGGAGCCCTCACTAGGTGACAGAAAAAGTGACCCAGAACTAGCGGTTGGGCTGAAAACTGTCTGATTGCTGTCTCTTTTTAAGTGAAAACACAATTGATATCAACTTAAAGTTGCTTTGAAACTGCTCTGTCGTTTAAAGTTTATCCATCTCTGAAAGATTGTTTGAGCCATGTCATATGCCTTTTCCATTATTTCCTAAGTCTTTAGACCAAAGGCTTCATTCAAATCAGAGTATTATGCTAAGCTTTCAAAGCCAAGGACCTGCCCCACCCTTGTCTTCTCAAGAAGGTCCAGCCCAGGGATGTCGCTAAAGAAGTAGCTCTCAACCTGTGGGTCACAACTCCTTAGGGCTTGTATATTAGATATTTACTTTATGGTTCATAATAGTAACAAAATTGCAACTATGAAGTAACAACAAGATAACTGTATGGTTGGGGTCACCACAACACGAGGAGCTGTATTAAAGGGTCCCAGTGTTGGAAAGGTCCAGAATCACTGACGGGACTCAGAGTGGGAGGGCTTTATACACCCAGGGACACTTGACAGTGTCTAAAGAGCTCTGTCATAACAGCGTGGGAGGCGCTACTGGAATTTAGCAGAGAAGGGCCCTGTGACACACAGGACTGCCTGCCGCCACTCAGGCCTTAACCAGGTCCAATATGTCAACCACATCATGGTTGAGGACTCCAGCTACGCTGAAGTGGATTAATCGATAGACCATCGTGTGAACCTACACACTTCAGGAGACTAAGCCAAGAGATGGTCTTCCTCTTCTTCTTCCTTCCTACAAAGAGGGAGAGGCAGAGTGCCTGTGAGAAACCTGTTATCTACGAAAGAGAGCAAGATTCAGCTGCCACAAAGCAAGCCACATAGAGTCATTCTTGGAAGTGTTGGAAGTTCATTTGGTGTCTACAAAATCAGGTCTGAGCAATGCGCAGCTGTTCAAGGTCACCAGTTAGGAGCAGGCAGCTCATGACCAAGCCTCACCAGAGCCACAATTTAATAGGCATTGAGGTATCTAACCAATTGTGATATGTTTCAATTCTTACTATGTTTTTAAGTACAAAATAAAAAAAAAAAAAAACGTAATTTTCTCTATCCCTCCCCAACAAGTGTCAAATAAAAGTAGATGCCCAACAGCCTCAGTGCATGGGGACTTGTGACATTCCGAGCAGGACCTGGAAGCGCCTGTAGCATCCCCATCCCTGCACTGGCTGCCTGTGCTCCACCTCACTGCACTGCACTCCACCTCACTGCACTGCACTCACTGCGCTACACTGCACTCACTGCGCT